GTCGTGTAGTACGGCAGCATTTTTTGGAAAAAATCTGCATATAAGTGGACCCATGCAGTTCAAAACCACGTAGTTCAAAGGTCAACTGCATTTCCATTTCTGCCCTTGCACTCTTTGTGCTATGGCTGTCATACATTTCACTCCTACGTGTAAACCCCAAAATACATCGTTATTATTTTTGCTGTAAACAATCAAGTATATTTTTGAAAGATTAAAAGTAAGAGGGAAAGTCTTATATTTACCCACTATAGTTACCATTTCCATTGCTCTCCAATCCTTTATGTAGATCCAGACTTCTATCCGGTACCATCTTCCTTCTACCTGAAACACTTTCTTTAGTATTTCTTATAGTAGTTGCCTGCTGGACATAGATGACTTCAGCTTTTGCAAGTCTGAAAAAGTCTTTCTTTCACCTTTGCCTTTGAGAAAGAAGTTTCTACAGGGTATAGAATTCTAGGGTTTTTTCCGTTTCAGTGCCTCACAGATGATGTTGCACGGACTTCTGGCACTTTTTTTTTCCAGTGAGAAATCCACTGTCACTCTTACCTTGGTTCATTTTAGGCCTTTTTCATGTCTTATCTCTACTTAACATATTCAATCTTTTCTCTAGCTTCTTGAACTAGAAGAACAGTTATAGTTACTGCTTTAATGTTTCTGTGTGCAAATTTTACCATCTGTGCAATTTCTGGGTCAGCTTCAATTGTTTTTTTCCACTGTCAATCATGTTTTCCTGCTTCTTTGCATTCCTGATCATTTTTGACCAGATGCCAGACCTTGTAACTTTTATCTTGTTGGGTGTTATATACTTTTGAATTCCAATAAATATTCTTGAACTTTGCTCTGGAATGCAATTAAGTTACTTTGAAAGAGTATATGATCACCTTGGGTTTTGTTTTTAAGCTAGTATTACTAGGCAGGATTGGAATGACATCTTAGCCTAGGGCTAAGTGAGCCCTGTTGCGAAGGCAAACCCTTCTGAGTAGCCCACCCAACGCCCCAGGAAGGATGGGGTTTTCCATTCTGGCTGGGGGGAACAGGAGCTCTTCCTGCACCTGTCTGAGTTTAGCACCTGTTCCCTCCAATCCCCTCAGGTGGTTCCACCCCCAGCCCCAGGGCACTGAGGGACCCCTGCAGGTCTCCCCCATCGCACCGTGCAGCTCCCCCATCTCTGGTATTCTCCCCAGTGGGCCCCAGCCACCCTGCCTCCTGAGGCCATCAGCTCTGTCTCCCCATCTCAGCAGCCACTGGGCTCTGCCCGGGTTTCCCCTCCTCACATCCTGGCTGGGAAACTCCCTCCAGGCAGTAACCTGGGGAAGTCATAAGGCTCATCGCAGTAGTTTTCCATTTTTCCAGAACTGCCTGATGCCCGGTGCCCTGAAAACCATTGTTACATATATTTTATCCGTTATCAATTGCTTTAGGCAGGAAGGTAGATCCTGTCCTTGTCGCTTAGCCAGAAGCAAAAATCTTTCATGATTTTTTAAATTTAATTTTTAACATATTACTAATATCTTTTCTGGTCACAAATATAAATATCTATAAATCACCTTTTATAAAGTTAGCTAATATTCCTTTCTATAAATGTATCTTAATTTTTCAATTCTGTGGGTAAGTCATTAAGATTATTTTTAATTTTCTAATGGGATGAATAGCACTGCACATCACTGTACACTTCCCTCAGGATGAACTCCTGAGATGAAACAGTTAAGTCAAACAGATAGTGTTTGCCAAGTTGCCTTTTAAAAAAGCTGTATCACCTCTGAAAAACTCCTGAATATTTTTTAGTGTTTGTCACTCTGACAGGTGAAAATGTTCTTATTCGTGTTTTAGTCTCATCCCACTGACCACCAGTGAGTGTGAGCATTGCCTCCACAGGAAGCACAAAGTAAGTGTTAGCCATATGCTCACGGGCCCAGCCACTCCGCGGCATGTGGGATCCTCCCGAACTGGGGTACGACCCCGTGTCCCCTGCATCAGCAGGCGGACTCTGAACCACTGCACCACCAGGGAAGCCCTAAAGTGGATTTTGACATACTGAACTATACTCCAGATAAAACAATTTTTTCCTTTATACTGCTAGCATCCCACAGCCTGAGATTCAACGTTCTTTTTACAGTAATGATTTCACTTTTTTGTACTTAGGTAATTAATCTGGTATTTATGTTTGTTTGCAGTATGAAGAAGGAACATAATAACCCCTAAATAGTCAAGTGGTTCATGATTTCCATACTAATACAAGATGCTATATTTATCATAAACTCATACACACAGATACACACATACACTTTCCCACTTTCTATTCTATACCTTCTTTAATGTCTAACAGCTACTTTAATTTCATGTACACCAGGTATCACCATATTACTGATGGTGTCAGATTTTCTCTGCAACAGTGATGTATTTATTCTTGCAGATGAACAGGTTCAAAAACACCTCTACTAGAATTTTGATCAAGATGATTTTAAGTTTACAGATAGACTTAGAGAAAGTTTCACTTTATGATAAAGAAAAATCTCCCCGTGTGGAGAGGGAAGGAGTAATCTGCGCCTCAGGAGCGTCAGCAGCCGTCCTGACGCTGACGGAGCCTCTGCACGTCTCTTGTCAATTCCTTGAAATTTAGTATGTCGGTGCTACTATGAATTGGATCTTGAACCATTACAGTTTCTAACTGATTTATGCTAATACTGGGGAAATCTATAGATTCCTGTATACTTATTTTTATCCAACCACTTTATCAAGGTACACTTGCTTAGATGAGGGTTCCTAACATTCCCAAGAGGATACTAGTAAAAAACAAATCCCCACACTCCGCCTGAACAGAAGATAGAAGTGTGCTGGGGAAAGGGCAGTGAGGCATCTTCGTTACTGTACGTTTGACAAATCTCCTCCGCACGATTTTGATGTCCCTGTGCATTTAGGAACCAGTAGGACAGACCACCAACTGGAGAGCTTAGGTAGACTGAGAGTCACAATACACACTGAAGACTTCAGAAGCTGCCACGGAATAACCCCACTGGAGAGAAGGTCAGTGTATCACAGAAGCTGTAAGAACGTACCAGAGGTTACTTACACTCAGGAGAGATAACAGGAAATACCAGCCATCGAGAAGATTTCATAAATCATTACATGCATATAAAATATCCACTTCAGCTCTACACTCCAAAATTCCTAACAAGTATGGAGAGTATCTTAAAACAAACTTGTTCTTTGATCTGACGGGACCAGAAACAACCTCTCTGGATCCAAAAAGCATCCTATTCACATGCTGCTGCGTAGAACACGCAGTACAATGACTACCAGCATTTACTCCATAGAAACATAAAGACACAGGAAAGTGAAAACTATCAGCAGCCACTACTGTGACTTAAGACGGCAAACTGAACCACAAATCAGCCTTAACACATCTCAACATACTTTACTACCAATGTGTGAATCTAAGCCAACATCCCATCAATTCCACTGGGAATTGTCAAGAAACAAACTAAGTATAATGCATGAAACACTAAGACTGGAAGAGGTCTATTTCCTGCGTCCATAAGCTTTCAAAGTGAGGTGTAACCCTGAGACCCGGATGCTGGGGGTCAGGTGAGCACAGCAGTGCTACAGCAGCAGCAGGCACCAGGGGCCTGTCGGGCATTTACCGTCATTTCATACCAAAGTAATGACAGTTTGTAGGACAATGTGCATCACGACGGGATGTATTTCTGGCTCTCAGTAGCTAAAGAACACATCTATGTAGCTCTCAACAGTGTTTCACGGGTGTCGCTTCATCCCACAAGAACCCTTATAAATTGGGTTTACATTTCATAGATGAGGCAACAGTGGCTCCAAGAAGTTAAACTTATCTAAAACCACCTGGCTTATAAGGAGTGGAAATAGAATTCAAGCTTTTTTCCCCCCTACTTTTATCTTAGTATTGTTTTCTAAGCTATGCTAACAATAGCATGCTAACTTAGAATTTTTATATTTTTATTTTCAGCACATATTCTCATTTGTCACTTCGTTTCTTCCCACAATATTTCTACAAATTAGATAGAAACAGAAATCATCCACTGTCCTTCACAAACTGAATGAGTTCAACTAAAATGAAATACCCTATTGTGAAACTGCTTTGAAAGTATGAAATACAAAAGCAAGGTGCCACTAAAATTAAATGAATCACCAAATTTCTGTCAGTACTAAAATCAAGATTCTTCTTCTCAGAGCTTTTTCTAACAGATTATAAAGAGCTCTTTCCAACAGGAGAACAACATGAATGATTTATTGCAAAGGAAAGAAAAGCCAAGACAGAAGCACTTCGCACGTGCCCATGTGGGTAACAGAATTCTGAAATCATAAGTAAATCTGTTTCCTACTCAGCCATTAGAAACAGGCTTAAAATATTTACCATCCACAGCTACTATGAACAATCGTCAGAAAAACTGACAGTCCAAAGTAAAGAGGATGAGGAGAATTAGCAACGAAGCTACACAGAAGGTGCTGCTAGTTCAGCAGAGGAACAATCGAGCCAGGGAAGCGGACCTCCAGTCAATGCCCGTGATCCCACTGGTCCCAGAGCCTTAACGAGCAGGCAGCAGCCATGGGGGGAGCATGTGCACTCCCACAGTGTCCGACGGGGGCAAAGTGCTGAAGAAAAGCAAACAAAAGACCACGAGAGTGCACTTATGTCAAACCTAATCTCCCAATTCATCCCACCCCCACCCGTGTCCACACGTCCGTTGTCTACATCTACATCTCTATTCCTGCCCTGCAAGTAGGTTCATCTGTGCCATTTTTCTAGATTCCACATATATGCATTAATATACGATATTTGTTTTTCTCTTTCTGACTTACTTCACTCTGTATGACAGACTCTAGGTCCATCCACATCTCTACAAATGACCCAATTTCCTTCCTTTTTATGGCTGAGTAATATTCCATCGTATATATATACACCACATCTTCTTTATCCATTCGTCTGTCAATGGACATCTAGGCTGTTTCCACGCCCTGGCTATCGTAGATAGTGCTACAATGAACATAGGGTACCATGTGTAAAATAGATAGCTAGTGGTGGGGTTTCCCTGGTGGGGCAGTGGTTAAGAATCCACCTGCCAATGCAGGGGACACGGGTTCGATTGCTGGTCCAGAGATCCCACATGCCACGGAGCAACTAAGCCCGTGCACCACAACTACTGAGCCCGCGTGCCACAACTACTGAAGCCCACGCACCCTAGAGCCCGTGCTCTGCGACAAGAGAAGCCACCTCAATGAGAAGCCCGTGCATCGCAACCAAGAGTAGCCCCCGCTTGCCACAGCTAGAGAAAGCCCACGAGCATCAACGAAGACCCAACGCAGCCAAAAATAAATAAATAAATAAACAAATTTATTTTTTTAAAAATAGATAGCTAATGGGAACATGCTATAAAGCACAGGGAGCTCAGCTCGGTGCTCTGTGATGACCTAAATGGGTGGGATGGGGGTGGGGAGGGAGGTCCGAGAGGGAGGGGATATATGTATACATATAGCTAATTCACTTCATTGTACAGCACAAACTAACACAACATTGTAAAGCAATTATACTCCAATTAAAAAAAAAAAAAAAAGATCACTATAATTGGACAGGCTCTTGTTCCAAATACCTCAATAAGTAAAATATAAACATGTTCAATTATCATAATGGTTACAATGATACTAGGTAAGATTATGGAAACATTATCATACATAGTAAGATTATGGAAACATCCTCCATAATCTTATGGATTACGGAAACATACATATATGGACATCCTCCATATATGTAGCCAGAAGTATGGGGAAGGGGGTCCTGTAAAGGTTTTAAAACAACTGGGGAGACAAAGAATATTCTAGCCCATTAAGAATGAAAATACAGAAATTTTTAATTTTCACTAGGAAGTTCAAAGTGCAGTTACCTGAGAGACTGTGCCACTATGTTTTCACATATTGTCAGACAATGATTCACACGGTCCTTCTTGGTGGCTGAGAGTTCTTTCTTTCTAAAAGGAAAAAAAAAGAGTAAAGGAAGTTTGCATGTGTTGTGTTATCCGCTCCATCTATTTCTACAAGGCATTCATTCATTCAATAGTGCTTCTTGACTCCTAGAAGTAAACCACCCATTCCTG